CCACTGAGCTGGGAGGACCAATGTGGGCTGAAGCTGGCATGGAAAAGCCCAGTTCCCTAATAGACTCCCACACAGAGTACCTTGAGGTCCTCTGAGTAAAGCTTGATCTCGACCTAATGAGTCAATCAAAACATACTTTCCCCTCTCCATGGAATGGGAATTTAATTTAAAACTCGCATGTCTAATAGGCAGCCCTTTGAAAGTGCATTTCTGAAATCTGTGGCTTGAATTTCAGTCTCCCGAGAGTAATATACTTAATATCTACTCCATGTGTTTGAACCTTGGTTTGTTTTGACTAAAGGACAGGATCTGTCAAGATGTTTTCTCTGCTAGAATTGGCGTAAAGAGGGTGGGCTTTATCTAATTAGATGGTAAAGAGGGTGGGCTTTATCTAATGAGATTATAAAGAGGGTGGGCTTTATCTAATGAGATGGTGAAGAGGGTGGGCTTTATCTAATGAGATTATAAAGAGGGTGGTCTTTATCTAATGAGATGATAGAGGGTGGACTTTATCTAATGAGATGATAAAGAGGTTGGGCTTTATCTAATGAGATGGCACTAGGCCCTTTTTCCTCCTTTCTGTGTGCTTTAAATGTTTCTGTTGCTGTGATTGTTCCATTTCTTAATCTTTTTCTAATTAAGGCGTGCTTAATTAGAAAAAGATTCCTGACCAAGAGTCAAGCCCCCACCCCTGCCTCTGGGCCCCGTGTCTGAGTTGATGTGACAGCATCATGGCCTGGAAACAGGAAAAGCCCACATGAAGGAATGGTGCTCACACAGGCCATAAAAGCAGTCAAAACTGTGCCATAAGATACCAATAAGTCACAGCAACTTAATCAAAGGAAGGCTAATTTATTTTAAGGACCAGAGGATGTCCAGGGACCCCAAAGACAGCAGGGCAGAAGGATTAGACCAAGAACTGGAAGGTCCATCTGAAAGGTGAGCAGTCCTCGAGACTCACTGTTCTCTGCAGAAGGGGCTAATGATGCCCAGAGTAGTGTAGGTGCCCAGCTGATAGTAGGTGAACAGCTGGGTGAGTGTCCAGACCTACCTTTTGGCTCTCCTTGATAGCCACGTGTCCACAGAGCCTCATCTGCCGTAGAATGACTGGATTACCAAAGGCCCAGTTGGGCTCAGGACCTCATTCCATGACCTGAAAACCATGTTTAGACAGCAGGATCACACTATAACCACATGGCTGCCAGCAGCCCACTCTGAGCTGAGAGCAGATGATTGGATTATAGATAAAACAGTCACCCAAAGGATGCTTTGTGAACGGGGTGGGGGCAAATGCTGGGCTTCATGTGAGGGACGACATCAGATCCTTCAGCTGTGAGAGCTGAGCATGCCTTGGAGGTCATCTAGACCCACTCCTTATTACTCCAAATCTAAAACAAGATTTGGAGAGAGAAACTGTTGGATGGGGTCCACTGTGTTTAATGGCATTTCTGATTAGATGAAACTATGTCAGCATTGAGTTTCTTGGTTAAATGAGTACAAGTCGTGTGGTTCCTCTTTGCAACCATTTATAACCATTGTTTAAATTCTTCTCAATTATGGTGCATGCTATGAGGTAAGGTTTGATTTCTATCTCACATTAGCAAAATCTATTCCAAGAGTCCTATGAAGCGGACTTTGGCATGAATTATTTAGCAAAAGCAAAAGCTGGACTGTGAGAGTCTTCGTACTTTGTCTGACAGGGAGCAGTGACTGTTGTAGGTAAGGGAGACTTGGATGGACTAGACACCTGCCTGCCGTAGCAGAGTTTGCCTCATGTGGGTCTCAGTATGTTGAGGAATATTGCAAGGAAGAGAGAAAAGTGATGTGAGGAAATCTGCTGGAGTCACAGGGCCTTGGGGACTGTCAGACCAGCAGGAGTCAGGCCCAAAGTGCTGAGATGTCATGGTACACAGAAGGCTTATGGTCATTCCAGATGGCTGCAGAGGAAGAGAACACAGTGACAGAGATAAACAGAAGCTGGAGTTAGATCAACAGGAGTTGGAAATGTAGATTTTTACCAAATTTTACCAAAAACAGAGTTACCTTTGCTAGTTAGTTGTCAAATTGACACAAACTGAGACTCTTGGGAAGAAGGAACCTGAATTTAAGAACTGTCCCTATCAGATTGGTAATTACTTATGTGTGAGGGCCCCAGCCCACTGCAGGGGGTACCACCCCTAGGCAGATGGTTCTGGTTGGCTGAGAATGCAATCGAGCAAACTATGGAAAACAAACGGGCAAACAGCTTTCCTCTGTGGTTCCGACTCTGCCCCTGCCCTGACTTTCCTGAGTGATGGACTGTGATTAGGACTTCTAAGCTACCTAAACCCTTTCCTCCCCAATTTGGTTTTGGTCAGTGTTTTATCACAGCAACAGACAGCAATCTAGAAGAGTACCATTGTGTGATGCTTGAGACGATGTAACACATTCCTGTGTGCTCCTAAGACTTGCCCTGGAAGCATTGAGAGAGGGAAAAGCAGGGTGAGCTGGGAACTTGGTGAGACAAGAAAGAGAAAAGATGGGGCTCTGAACTGAAGGAGGGCTGGGGGATGGGGGCCAGGGAGAGTCACTGGCTTCCACCAGGGTGGGTATTGGTTGCATAGCCAGTAAGCAGTTGTCCAGGCCTCTTGTGTGTTCTGGGTACCCAGGTGGATGGGTTGATGTTGTCCTGATTGAGCAACAGAAATGGAGAAAAGGGTGGCTTGCTTTGGGGCTGGTTAAGTCTAGGGGCTGGTGAGAGACCTCTGTACCCCGGCAGCCTGGCCTACAGTACAACCAGAGCCATTGGCCATGGAGTGTAGGTAGGGATAGGCTCACCAGGCAAGTGTCAAGAGAAGAGAAAGGTCCAGAGGCCAGAGCAAGCAGGGACACTGAGGTGACGGAACAAGAAAACCACGGAAGAACAACCCGAGAGGAAAGGGAAGTTAGAGGTTTAGAAAGTCAAAGGCAGGGGGCAGTTTGAGGAAGGAGGAGGCCAAGACTGCCAAGAGACAGCATGGATCTCAACAATCCAACGGCTCCGGCTGCCGGGCACCCTTGCACAGTGCGGCAGAGTCCTATGAGGACCGAGGAATTGGCTCTTGTTTCTCCAGATCAACAAGCAGTTTCAAACGGTGAGAGTGAAAATGCTTTAGTTTGAAGCACTCGTTTGTAGATGGCAGCGGGTAGATTACAAGATAGAATGTTTCCCTCCTGCTCCTCAGCAAGGCAGCCCCAGATTTCAGTCTCAACCCCAGTGCAGTGCTTAGACCTCAGTGACGTCATAGAGCCTCAGCATCTGTCTCGCTCTGCAGATGGCCCCTTGCCTAGTCAGAGAGTCCAGGAATGGCCTAGAGCAATGCTTGGCCCCCTCTACCGGTTGTCTTTCCTCCTTCCTGTCTTCCTCCCTCCTTCCCTCTCTCCCCTCCCTCCCCCTCCTTTCCTCTGCACTCTCCCCATCTGCACTCGCCAGTTGACTTTGCTGAGCTCTCCTTCCTCTCCACACCCATGAAAACCCAAGCTGTGTGCCGCGCAGGGACCCTCCTCTGTTCTGGGTACTGCTGAGTCCCCACCACCTTGAGCAGTGCCTCCCATGTCCATAGTAGTTGTTCAATAAATGCTTGTTGAATGGATGACAGGATAATCAGCAGGGGGCAGTGGTCATGCTGTGAATGACTCCTGGTGGCCATTCTCAGGGTTGGCATGGGTCTCTTCAGGGCCTGCTCTCTTTTTAAAACCTGAGGCTTTCTCGCTGCCTCTCTAAGGCACTGATGGAGAATGGGGAACCTGATCATACCTATTCTGATTATAAGAGAGTCACAGATGGAGAGAAACTTCGTAAAGGAGCAATATGCAGAGGGGACTCAGCAGCAAGATTCCCAGAATTCCTGAGAAGTTCCAAACACGGGAAGTGGCAGATCCTCGCCTTGACATCTCCTTCCTGGAAGCCAATCCAGACCTCAGAGTGCTCCCAGAGCTCACACCTGCAGAGGCCCCATAGACCGCACTGAAAAGCTGGGTTGGGGGTCGGGCGGTGGGAGGGGGGAGCCATCTTCCCTTAGCAGAGCCGATGTCCTCAAATCCCAGCCACTTGGCCGCTCATCAAGTGACAGAGAGCAGAGACTCCACGTGCTTTATTACACCTTGCATGTGCAGTGATAGATGCTGTGTCACACTTTCCTCTTTAGATTGTCACCCCGCAGACTAACACAGAGATGGGACGCAGTCATGTATGGCTGCTTATGAGGAATGCGGGATTGGGTTGGGAACGGCCCTGCTTCCCAGCAGCCTGCTGGCCTGACACGCTCTGAAGAGAAAGTCTGGTATCAACACACAAATCTAAACTGAAACCAAACGAGCAAACACCAACATGAATTAATTGGACCCATGTATTTGTGCCTAGACCAGCATTCGCCCATTCCTTCCCCCGGGGCTGCTCTTTGTTGTCACTGTGGTTCATTTTCTACTCCCTTTTCATCTTCTGCTGGGTCCCTCCAAGATTCTCAGCATGGGCTTCAGATTCCAAACTCTTATGGAAAGCATATGTCTTGAGGAACATGCTGTGCCATGCTAAAGTTCCAGAGCCAGTTGTATTTCTGTCCCAGGATTAAGAACAACAGTTGTTTGTGGGGCTGGGAGGCCTCTCGGGGTCTGGTTACTCAGAAGGCAATGCAGAGCACAGAGTGGTTCTGTGGTTCTGAGACGTGTCTAAGCAGACCACTACAGAAAACTGCAGCCCCTCAAAATGCAGAAAACATGTAACCACGCAATGCCCTGCCCCAACTGGTGCATCTACAACACAACCCCTCCTCCTGAGGCTAGGGAAGGCGGGGTGGAAAGATTGCAAGAGCCAAAGGAACGGGAAGTCAGAAATGTCACGAAGTCTCATCAGCATGCCTGCCGAAGCAGGATGGCACTGTCAGGATTCTGTTGCTGTGAAGAGACACCGTGACCACAGCAACTCTTGTAAGGGAAACCATTTAACTGGCTGCTATCTGACCCGATGTGGTTCTGTTTTGCAGGTGAGCCGGCCCCATCCCAGTGACCATCCCCTCTTGATTCTCTTTGTGGTGGGCGGCGTCACAGTCTCTGAAGCCAAAATGGTCAAAGACCTTGTAGCATCTCTGAAGCCGGGAACCCAGGTACTGCATCGTGGCTGACACAGGAAGGAGTCCAGGGGCAGCAATGGGAAGGGTGGTGGGGGCTTCATGGTTCTTCTGGCTTGCTTGCTTCTCCGTCTGCTCCTTCTCCCCACATCCTGTTACCTACCATGTTCTCCTTCTGGCTCCTTCCCCAAAGTCATCTTCCTGGCCAGACCAAGCCCACCCACACCTCCCCAGAGAGCTTTTTGTTTTGTTTTTCTTTATGGTTAAGGACCTACCACTTTGGCAAAGTCCATTGTAACTGGTTACGTTCTCACACCAAGCAAAGGGATCCCTGTTGTTTGCATAATAAATGGTGCCAGCCAAAAGCAGGGTAAGGCTGTCACCGTCCAAACCCTGTGACCTCCAGTCCCCAGCATCCTCCAGCCCCCAGCATCCCGTGTCCTCCCTCTAGCCCCAACTGCTACAAATTCTACAGCCTCCCAAAACAGAGCCTCCAGCTGAGGTCAAGGATTGAATTGCATGAGCCTGTGGAGACATTCTACTTCCAAACTATAATGCTGAGGGACTCCAGAGACCTTGTCCTGTCTGTGGTAGTCAGGGGGAAAGAGTGCCGTCAAGAGGTTCAAGATGTCATCAAGACACTAACTAATACTAAAGGCCGTCCACACAGCTGCACAGGAAACAGCTGGGGGATAGTAGCATTCTAGCCCAGGCCTGCCTACCTGGGCGGTGATGTGGCTTCCTGCTGATTCTGCATGCGCTCTGTATCCATACAGCCAGCATTCTCTCCTCCTGTGACATTCTGCCAGCTGCTCCAGACTCTTCCGAGTCTCTGCTGGCATCCCAATCCACACCGTGCAGTGAAGTTCTTGCCTGTTCCCTGACTACTCCACATTTGCCAACATTGTCCCTGCCACTGCCCCTTGAGGACAAAGGCTGGGCCTAGGCTTGAGCGTGTGGCAGGAGCTCGGTAAGCCTGGGGTTTAGTACATATATTGAATCCAAAAGAATTCGCTAGAAACAGTCTGTGGTGTTGAGTGCCCGAGCCTCAACAATGCCTTTGGTGAAATGAAGGAGACCCGATCTCTCTCTATATCCCGACTCGCAACTGGGAAAGAGAAGATGGGTATTTAGGGAAGAGGCTCAGGTCTGGGAGTAGCCAGTCATTGTCTGTGACCCTTTCTACTGTTACCATCTTACCATCTATTATCATCAGAGCTGGTGAATCCCTGGAAAACTAATCATCCTAGCCTCGTTTTGTACACCTATGCCAGCAGAGTTAGAAATCTGTTTAATGAGGCCTTTTTTTTTTTTTTTCAAATAAGTAAGTACCTTTCTGCTGTCCCTAACATGGAAACCACATTCCTAATTCCTTACAACAACTGTACATTGAGACAGCCTGCCAGACACAATAATCCCTTCTCTAAAAGGATAGAGTGCAGATGCCTTCAAAGTCCGGTGACAGTATGGAGGCAAAAGCCAGAATCAGCAGTGGCTTTGCCAGTCTGGCCCTGTACCCATTCATCTGCAGACAGAGCATCTCAGAGTGTTGGAGGCTTAAGGAACAGGCTTGACCACTCCTTGTCCTTTGTGTGAAAACTCCCTGAGGCATTATCAGGCCCTAAGAGGATTCTCTCAGCAGCAGGGAAAAGCTGGGACAGCTACTCACCACAATGCCTTTGGTCTCTAAGCTTGTGGAGGCAAGGAGATTGCCTGAGTGATGCTGGAGTGACATTCACTGTAGCCCTCCCCTTCACCTGGCAGGTAGTAGCCACGCTAGCCAGCAGCTAATGGAAAGCTCAACCTTCTGATTTTAGAAACACTCTGGAATTCAGGTCTTGCTATGTGAGCCGTATTCAGAATGGTATATGCATCAGTTCCGTTCTCTGCTTGTGCTCACACTGCTGTTGGGAGTGTGTGAACCCCGCTGAAGGAGCAGATTCCATAGAAGCAATGTACCAGGAGGCTGTCAAAAGCACTGCTGACCTGACCATGTGTGAGCAGTATCTATCCACACAGTGGAAAGAAAGCCTTTACCATTCCATCCAGGGACGGTTGATAAGAGAAAATACTAAGTCTTTCTTTGACTTGACTAAGGAGGGGAACTCTCCCAACCCACCCCAAACAGGTGCAAGACCAAGTCAAGAATCTCCTTAGGTTCCTCTGTTCCTCAAAGCGTGTGTGCCGGGTACCAGCGCTGTCTCCTCACCCTGCTATGTGGCATGAGGCCCTGTGGCCAGATGCTCTGGCCAGCTGAACTCTGTTGCTGTTGAATGGTGGCCATGAGGCCCACAGAAGCCTGTGATTGTGAGAAGACAATTACAGGGAGGTATCCTCACCGAAAACAACCAGGCCAGGAAAAGAAAGAAAGGCCAAGCATGCGAGCTACCTGGCTCTCAGCCACTTTTCATCCATGGTGTGGACACCATGCCTCCACGCACTTCCACATGTCTGAAGCACAGTGTTTGGTGAGAATCACAAGCATTTAAAAACAAAAACTAAATCCAGAAATCTAGCCCTACACAATTCTGCGTACATCTTTGGGGGTTCAGGGTAACCTAGGTACCTGCCTGCTCCAAATCATTATAAAATTGACGGGGAACCCCAAGGATGCTGAGATCCGTGACATTAACAAAAACACCCAAACCAGAAAGGATGAAGCACAAAGGGATCTAGACTGTCATGTGCAAGCTCTGCAGGAGAGCTGACCCTCAGCACTGACACCTGGGACCAGGTGGACAGCAGGTCAGACAGGTCACAGGTCTTCTGAAAAGGATAGCTGTCTCCCTGGACTAACCACTGAACATTTTAGATTTGGGCACCAGTAGGTGGATGTGTGCCCGTGTGTACAGTATAGCACGTGTATAAGCAGGGTTAGATCACACCTCCAATATCTGTGTGCAAAAACCATTGCTTCTGCTGGATGGATGAAGGGTCACATAGGCAGCTGTGCTGTGTGGTCACTTTGGGGGGGGTGGGGGGATGGGAATTGGGCTTAGAAGAAAGGGAAAGAAAAAATATTGCCTGCTCTTTTTGATTCTCAGTATTGGAAAACAGAGTGCTCTGATACCCAAATCCTAGGTTTTACTGCCACATCTGCATTCAGCAGAAACAGAACAGAAAGGTGTTGGCATCTGCAAATCATAGTGTGGCTGGAGAAGAGGAATGCCAGCTAGCAGGCCTCCCAGGGCTGGGCCTCCCCAACTGAGTGCAGCACATGCCAAGCAGAGGCGCCTTGGCTCTGGGGACACTGAGGTTGTCCGTGTCGTCTCACTGTCAGCCAGTATGTGAGTAAGCTCCATCTTGGGACAGTCTGTGGTCGAACCTCCACCATCAGCCATGTTTGATGATGCCCCATCACAGTTGCTGTGGCTCTGCGGTGACTCTTCACAGATCAGTGATTTGTCTCTGCTAAATGCCGCTTTTCTGTTAGACTGTGAGATCTATGGACCGTCAGCAATGACTCTGCATGGGTGGTGCTTTAGGAGGGGTTGTGGTCAGTGACAGTGCACGGTGCAGGTGAGGGTGTCCCAGGCTGCACCTTGGGTCCTGGTGAAGAAGCTCTGACTTGTGAGTGCCACACATGGCAGGTGGCAGATGGAGATGGGGCAGTCGGGAGCTGAGGAGTCATGGTGAAACGCTGTTCAAATTTGAATGAAACCAGGCCTGAGCTGAGAGGGGGGAAAGTCACCGCAACCAAAAGAAGAATTAAGAGGAGAGAAGGAGAGCTGGAAAAAGGGGACCAGAAATGTAGAGAACAAGGACCCTTTGTGGGCAAGGAGCGGGATGGTCCCTGGAGTTTGCCTGTTACCCAGGTCTCCTGTCAAAGGCCAGCTCTCTGGAAGGTATTCTCCAACGTCAAATCAGCCTCCACACTGGCTGTATTTAAAGCATTTACATTTCAGCTGATAGGCCAGTTTCAAGCCCTTCTCCGCTTTTTTTTTTTTTTCCTCTCCCATTTGGAGCCAAGTTCTTAGAATGACAATTAGCCAAATAATGCTGACACAGTCTTGTTTGAATTAACTTAGAAAAAAAGAGAAAATGCTCTAAAGCAGTCTAATGTCAAACATGCCAAGGATGTAAAAGTGCTGCTCATGGGCTAGAAAGATGTCCCAGCAGTTAAGAGCACTTGTTGCTCTTGCAGAGGACGCCAGTTCAATTCCCAGCACTCTCAGTGCAGCTCACAACCATCCATCACTCCAGCTCCAGGGGACCTGACACTCTCTTCTGGCCTCCAAGGGCACCAGGTGTACCTGTGGCACACACACATACATGCAGGCAAAGCACTCAACACACATGAAATGAAAAGCATTCTGGATGCTTAAGGATGGTAACCTGGTAGGGTGGATGTAAACCCTGGTGGTGTGACCTGATCTGGTTTTAAACAGCAGCCTCAGACAGCAGGTTTCTCTGAACTGATCGAGTAAATGTACGCAGTCATCTAACCGTCCCTCCTGAGGCCTTCCTCTGTGAAAACCTTCTGGCTGTCCAGGGCTGAAGCCCTTGCCTCCTTCACTGTGTGCCGGTCCTGCCCAGTCGGTTCTTTGACTCAGTTATTTCTGAACTCACTGTTGCAGGCCCTGCTCCGTACCAGGCACTGTGCTAAAGAAACAATGGAAGGTGGCAGTAAGACAAACAGCCACAGGGCATCCTCGGGCTAGAGGGTGGGAGGCTGGTCCAGGAAGGCTTGCTGGAGGCGGAGACATCTTAGCAGATTGAAAGGCCACAGAAAGAGTAGGGAGCTCTGCCCAGATAAAGGAACATCTCCAAAGAGCCAACTGTGAAGGTGCAGATACTTGAGGGTAGCTGACACGTGGGACTGACCATACAGAGTGATGGAGGAAGAGCTGCTGAGAAGCCAGCAGGAAGCCGACTCCGAGGCCTGGGATGCTGTCCTGGGGGCTGGGCTTATCAATGGTGGTGAGAAGAGAGTCGGGGTTTGAATCCACTAAGTAACAGATTTACCCCGAAGGAGCACTCTGGCAACCTCCCCTTCCCTCCATCACTTAAGGGCTGCAGCAAGCTGCAAGGAGGGAAGGCAGCGGAGGAGGAGCAGACGCCAGCAGCCGCCACCGGAAGCCCCTCGGGAGCCACCGGAAGCCCTCGGGAGCCTGCATTGTGCTCAGTGTTCTGCATAGTGTTCATCCAGGGCAGACAGTGTTAGTCATGCCTTAAAGATGAGGAAAGTGAGACTCGGGAGTGATTAAGCGACTGCTCCAGGGTAGGCAGCCGTAGCTGGGGTCCAGCACAAGCTGGCCATGCCTAAGCCTGTTCTTGCCATCACAGCGCTCCGGAAGAGTCCCTGGAGTCAGCCCTGCTCTCTCCCTTCCTCACAGGCCCCCTAACCTACTTCACAAACTGCTTCTGTTTCCTATCGCCCCAGACGCCCTCAGCTGTGGCGCTCAACAGGCTGTCACCTCATGGGCCTGCTTGTTTGGATGAGAGGAGCCTGATCTCTGTGTTCGCACTCAGAGCAAACCAATCCAGAACCTGTCAGCCGTGGCTGTGAGCCCAGCACAGCCTGAGCGGGACAGGTTCTTCAGGCGCCATTGGCTGCTCTGTGTTGACATCAACTGAGCTGGTAGCCAGCCCCACTCCCAAGTTCTTCCAACCTGACAACAAGGCCTGATCTTCTTTGGAGACACACTCCATCCTCACTCCTGCCCTTGATCTCAGCTGGAGAGGAATCCACTAACATTAGACAGGGTTGAGGGCTGTGCGGGGCTGACAGTATGGCAGGCAGTATGGCAGGGACTAGTAAGTCATGGGGATGGAGTATATTAACCACTGCTGGTTTCTTCTGCTTCACAGGGGTCTGTATCCAGAGGCTAGGGAAAGTGTGTGTGTGTGTGTGTGTGTGTGTGTGTGTGTGTGTGTGTGTGTAAGCCATAGGACAAACTCATCTGTTATTCCTCAGGACCTGTCTACCTTGTTTTTTGAGACAAGTTCTCTCAACTAAACTGGAGCTCATCAAGTAGGCCCTCTGGCCAGGGAACCCCAACAACCTGTCTGCTTCTGTGTTCCCAGTCTCAGGATTGCAGAAGCACCCCACCATACCCAGAGTTCTCTTACAGATTCTGGGAGTTGCACACATGTCCTCTTGCTCGCACAGCATGCACTTTGCCCACGGAACCGTCTCCTCAGCCCTATGGATACACTTTAAAGCGTGTTTCCTAACGATGGTTTACAAATCCCGTAACGGCCCCTAAAGCTATGAACCGTATGTGTTTTCCCTGAAAATTCTGTGCTTTCAAATGGTTCTGAAGGAGATCTGCAGACCCATCACAGAATCACAGTAGTTGAACACTTCCTGGGCTCTCAGCAGAGGAACTTACATAACCCTGGAGATGTGCTACAAGCTTGGGTGTTCCTTTCTCCCTGGGATAGATGAGGTGGGAGAGTCGGCTCCAAGTAAAGTGACTGTATTCCATAGGGAAGCCAGCCAGCCAGCAGCGGAGCTGAGCTCTCCCCAGCCTCTGGAGCAGCTCTGGCCCGGGAGCCCCCTTGCCACACACCTACATGCTTGGGTGGCAGGGGCATGCTGGTATTCACCACTGTCCTCAAACCCTCTTTGCACAGATTTCAAGGAGAATGAGAAGTTCGGGTTTCAGTGGTTTTTTTTTCCCCTTCCAAAAATATGGGTTGGCTGGCATTAGCCATGTGTTTCTTGAGATAGCTCTCTTCCAAGAACAATGCTTCAAAGGCAGTGCTCTGGGAAAAGAGAGGGAACTCTTCGACAAGGTCGTTTTTTTTTTTAAAAAAAAGTTATTTTCAAGAAGAAAAACAAAATTCTGAATGTTTCTTTTCTACTCCCTCCCTTGACCATGACCCAGCCCTGTTCTGCCTTGAGTTGGAATGTGGCCTCTGTTTTGCACCAATGAACGAGTTGCATTTGGAGTTGATTACTTCACTGATTTCATTCCACTGGGATAACTTGGGGGGCAGGCGAGAGGACAGGGAGGTGTCCAACCTGCACCTGTCCAGCGTCGCACGGCCCAGTGCAGCCCAGTCATGCTACACTCTGGTGCTTGCCTGTGGAATTCCTTCTGGATCACCTCCCTAATTTCCCATTGGCAGTTTCCTATGGAGAGGTGCTAGTGCCTGCTTGGGCAGACCCTCACATGGCCCTTACAAAGCGTACCATGCCCCCAGGCAAGTCCTGGAACTAACTGTCTTGGTGTTCTAGAGAGAAATTGGCCTCACATTGAAGTCCAGGCTAAGGGAAGTCACCCAGCATCAGCCAGGTGAGCCCAAAGATCCACATGGAGTAGGTGTGCAAAGCATGAGCCACGCTGAGCAGCCAGGTTATAGATGAGGGAGCCTGAGCCACGTCTGCTTTCTTCGGGCCTCACCCGGTGCCTCCTTCCAAAGACCTTTCCTGGCCCCTGGTAACTGACCTCCCTGATTGTGCTGTGCCTGTCCCTCCTGTCGCAGGTGATCGTTCTGTCCACAAGACTCCTGAAGCCACTTAACATTCCTGAGCTGCTCTTTGCCACTGACCGGCTACACCCAGACCTTGGCTTCTGACATCTAAGAGAAGATAAGACCTGTTTGAGCTGGAAATACCAATACCCATCTGTCACCATTCCAGATATGCCTCCAAAGCCAGTGTCCCCGTTACTAATTATAGGTATGACTTCATTCTACCAGAGAGGGCTTCATAACCAGGCAGAAGACAGCTTGTTTGGACGTCTCTTGTTCTTCCAATGCAAAATAAAGACTGAAGTGTTCATTCTTCTTCTAAAGGTGTCAAGCTGTCTTTAGCTGACTTCCCCTGGAGTCCTGTCATTTATCCCTCCCCCTTATTGTAATCTTCCTGAAGCGACAATCTCCCTGCAAGTCCATTAGCTCTGGGTAAATGCCTGCCTGCAAGCCTTGGCAGAGATGAGCGTAATGGTTTGAAGTGAGTTAGGGAAAGTTAAATGTGCTTAGAATTCCCTGCTTGAGGAAAGCAGGGTGGTCCTCGTGATAACATAAGTGAGGAAGGGCTGTCACAGAAGGAGCCAGAGACTTTGTTTCTCTCTGATGCCAACACATTTCTAAGGACAAGGGAGGAGGGGCCTGGTGGCCTCCCTGAGTGGTAAATCACCCCAAGAGTGACAAAGGGCTGCTTTGTTCCAGTTGGTTCAAGGAACAGGGCAGCCCTGCTATTTGGAACAGCGGTGGGAGGGACAATGAGGGTGACCGAAGGCTGTCCTGGCTGCAGATGCTTTCCTCAGGTCCAGAGGAAACCCCACGTAGAAAAGATTTCCTCCCATGAGTCTAGATTGGAAGCACAACCCCCCAACGGCCTTTGTGATTTCAAATTCCTACTGAAACAGAAAGCGTTCTTCTGGGACGTTGTATTTTCTTTCTGGTCATAGCAGAAAAACCCAGACGCATCTAGTGAAATTATGTGAGAACTCCGGGGAAAAGGAAGAAAGAACAGCTTGGAACCCAGACATCACTTACAGGTACATGACTGATGGGAGTTCCTGGCATGAGGAATGGATGTCTGAAAGAAGACAAAGCCGAAAAACAGTTTCTAGTGTGGATTAAGCAAGAAGAACAAATAAAATGTAAACCAAGACATGGCTATACATTTTAATTCTCTATTAAATGCTGTCATTTTAAGGAAGTAGAAAAAATAGAATTGTGAGTTTAGAATCATTTTGAGATGAATGAAGCTGATTTTTATGAAACTGTGTTCGTTTTTCCACCCACGTGTCCTTTTGACCTTCGCCAGTTCTTTGATGGTGCTGAACTATAAGGCAACTCTTTTTTAAATCTCAGTAAGCTGAAAGTCTTACATTTGAATAAGGGGGGAAAATGACATTAGCCTCAAAGAAATTATATGTATGCAGAAATGGGTGCTTTCTAAAATAAAGAAATTTAAAGTAACCTGCCACGTGACTCAGAACCGTATTCATTCATCCAGTCATTCTCCAGTGTTGAATGGGAACCTGTAGAGAACATTCCAGACACTCTGAGAAGTTCTGAGCCATGCTTATCACAAAGCAGACAGCACCCTGACTCCATGGCGCTCCCAGGATGCCTGGGTCCCTGGGGGATTTCTTCTCAAGGTTAAGTTACACACCCTATGTCTACATGCAAAGGGAATCAGAAAGTACCAAACCAAACTGCTCACCAGTGGTTAACATCTGGAAGACACAGCAAGGGGAACATGGGAAAGGGGAGTCACCCCCCATTACTTCTAGACTGCTTCAGTTTTTTACACCAAATACGTATTTGTGTGTTGCTTTTGTGAGTTGAACGGTTTATCTTGTCAAGTTGTTTCCTACCTAGTAAAAGAATGTTCAGAAACTTCCACTCTTATAACAAGATAAAGTTACCGGTTGCGTTAGCATTCTAGAATGCTCTAACACTGAAGGAAGTATGGCCATGGCTGGTGTCAGGGTGGGTGGGTAGGAGAAGTGTAAAAAGTTTAGTTTGTAGCCATCCTCTTCCATCTCGGCAGCCACTGGCTGGAAGAAGTGGACCAGGAGGACGGTCAGTGATGGAGGCTTTTGGAGACAGGTGAGCTGGAAGAAGGTGGTGATACCTGGAGTCTGGTTTGGAGAAGAAGACTGGAGAAATGGGAGAGAATCCTGATCCTTGACATTAAACAGCAGGAGCACAATACAAGCTTGATTGTCGCCCTGCAAATGGCCATGAACAAATGAGAGAAAGAGTGTGGCGTGGGCAGTGGAGCACTGTCCTGGGGCAAAGTCTTTGGGCACTATGTGGGTGTTTGCTCTTTTCCCAGATGAGGGCCGGCTTAAGGAGGATGCTAAGCATCCTCCACCAGTGTGAAGGAGCCCACAGGTCAAGGCTCTGGGTCCTCTCTGACTTTATGTCCCAGTTATCCAAGGCTGCACCAACATCCATGAAATAGATGGTAATAGAGCCTCCTTCCCAGGGGGCTGCTGGGGAGCTACCTCTAGTAGAATGGCTGGTACATGGCTCCAGGAAGTGTGGCTGTTACTGCTGAGGACACCAATGAGTTGCTTACAAAATGACAAAGTATCAAGAGGAGAATGATAGTAAATGAGTAGAGAGTTTGAAAGCCTTTCTGGGGAGAGGAGAAATGGAAGAGAAATGAAGTCTTGTTCCAGCCAAGGCCATCTAACCAAGATGTAGGTCAGGAGCACATGTTATATATCTGGTAGTTCATTTGTCCAGGTCTTGGTTGAACATGAAATTAGATGCCAGTAGGCCATACCACACTGGGTTTTGGTACAAACTGAAAGAGTGGTACTTAGAATATGGCTAAGGGGTCAGGCAGTGGTGGTGCATATCTTTAATCCCAGCACTCGGGAGGCAGAGGCAGGTGGATCTCTGTGAGTTCGAGACCAGCCTGGGCTACCGAGTGAGTTCCAGGAAAGGCTCCAAAGCTACACAGAGAAACCCTGTCTCGAAAAACAAAAACAAAACAAAGACAAACAAACAAAAAAAAACAATCAAAACAAACAAAAAAAGAACATGGCTCAGGGTAAGGTGCTCAGTGCTCCAATGGTAGGCTAGCTTTCTGTCATGTGACAGAATATCTGAAAAAAATCAACTTGTAGGAGAATAACTGTGATTTTAGCTCATGGTCTCAGAGGTGTCAGTCCACAGTCACTTGGCTCTGATGTTTCTGTGCCCGTGGTGAGGCAGAGCATCATACATGATAAAGAATATGTAGGAGTGAAGACATGTTTGACATATGATAGCCAGGAAATTGTGGAGAGGCTAGAGGAAGGGACAAAGTACACACTCCCAGGACACAGCCCAGTGACCTGCTTCCTCTGGAGAGTCCAATCTTCTAAAGTTCCATTCCCTCCCAGTGTTGCAGTAAGCTGTGAGTCTCTCAATGGATTCATCCATTGATGAAATCAAGGCACTTATGATCCATTTACCCTTCCCCAAAGCCCCTCCTCTGAGCGCTACTGCATTGAGGGCCAAGTTCTCAACCCACGAGCCTTTGGAATATCTTTTAGATCTAAGCATAACAATACCTAAGAATCACTACCTGTGGTAGTTTGAAGGAAAATGGCCCCCATTAGGAGATGTGGCCTTGCTGAAGTAGGTGTGGCCTTGTTGGAGGAAGTGTGTCACTGTGGGGGCAGGCTTTGAGGTCTCTCTTGCTCAAGCTTCACTCAGTGTGACACTCAGTCTACTTCCTGTTGCCTGCATATCAACATGTAGCAGCTCCTTCTCCAGCACCATGTCGGCCTGCATGCCACCATGATAATAATGGACTAAACCTCTGAAACTGTAGGCCACCACTGCAGTTAAATATTTTTCCTTTGTAAGAGATGCATGGTCATGGTGTATCTTCGCAGCAATAGAAACCCTAAGACACTACTACTAGTGTTGAATGTCGGATGGTTGCCTACGCACATCCATGTTTCCAATAGAAACTTTTCCATCAATGTTAGTCAGAAAGCAGCTATGTGTCGTCTGGGGTTGAAAGCTTCATTTACCATTTCCACATTATCCAGATGTGTGAATTTTAAAGGGACCTCCCCCACACCCCTGATGGTAGCCACCTGAAGCTGACACAAACGGTCCAGCTGAGGAGCTGAGCTGTGGTGACTCTCAAGCCTGAGTATATTTACCACCTAAACCATGCTGGCCAAAGCAGGCGCACACAGGCCAATCTCCTACCAAGGGCCTTGCAGCCACTTTTTTTTTTTAAAATACACAATTAAGATCCCAGCAAATGCTTTGTGGAGACTGAGGTCTGCTCCTTTGGAGCCCTGACCCCATGAGCATAGGGCACAAAGTGTTTGGAAGTACTACACACAGAGGGTCAGGCCCCATGCAGATAGTTGTTTGTGCCAGAGTCCCTACAGCTACACTGTTATTTCCATAACAAATAATTCCATACCCCCTCTCCCAAGACCACTATTGTTTCTTCTTACCCTGGTTACCAGAAACAGCATGTCAACAACAAATAATCCAATATTACAAATGTGGTCTGTTGGCTTGCCCAAGAAACATCAAAAAAATGCCATCTCTGCTTTGAAAAGAACTTCATAAAACCAGATGGTGGCGGGGGGGGGGGGGGGGGGGGGGGGGGGGGGGGGGGGCTTGCAAGCCAGGTCAGAAAGAGCAGAAGAGTGGCGGGGTCTCCCCACCCTCACTAATGACCCTAACCCCATTGTCTCCTCCAATTCAGGAACTGATGCGGACAATAAGAACCTGCTGAAACCTTCTCTCTTTGGACTTCCAGAGGAGTACCCAGTTAGCTTTCTGGGTTCTTTATTGTAAGCAGGCAGGCGCCTCCCTGCTGGGCTGTTACCAGGAGGTTCTGGGAGTTCTCCACAGCTGGGTGCTTGCATCTCTACTCTGCTAAGCAAGACCATAGTGTGCCAACTGCTCCATTGTGGGGATCTGCCCACAACTTGTTCCCTTGCCCAGAAAATAGATTTGGTTTTTTTTTTTCCTCTTGGGGTAAAAGATCAATGCTGAAATCCCATTTTTTTTTTTCGTAAATAAGGGGCTCTCTATAAACACAGCCATAGCCCTAAAGTTCGGAGTTCTGAGCTGCCGGACAGACAAACCTTCTGGAGCTGGGGATGAGGACAGAAGACAGTTTCACAGCCTCCCCCGACCCCCCACCCCCAGCTTCCCCTGCCACTGTACAGCAGGAGCAGGCCCAGCCAGGGCTGCAAATGGTTTTGATTTGAGGCTGGGAGGAAACTAGAAAGCCAGACATCATGACAGACGTGGGTTGGGCTCTGAGACAGAGCAGCTGGGAGGCAGCCCCTCCAACCTGGACGTCTTTATTACTGAGGGGACTGGAGGCCAAAGCAGCCAGCAGCCTCTGGCTAATGGCAACAGCAGATGTGGTCCTGTTGCCAGGAGCCCTGGGGCCAGGCAGTAAACCAGCCGGTAGCAGAAGGGAGGTGGAGGAAGCTGGGGCCAGGGGGGTAGGCTGGTCAGGGGAAAGCCCAGATCAGCAACTGGGTCTAGGAGAGTAGAGGGGGGAGGGGTGGAATTAAGACAAGCTTTGGCACCCGAACGGCTTAGGGATCCAGGATCAGCTTCTTGAGAGCTGAGTCTGTTGTTCCCTTCGCTGTATAGGATACTGAAGAGAGATAGTGGAGTCAATGTGTACAGTGTCCTTGTTTCAGACATCTCCGGTTTCTGCTGCCCAGACAGTCAGTAAATGAACTAGAGCGCTGTTACTGTCTGGCCCTAAGCTAACATAATCTCTAGGCCTTGGTTTCCTCGTCTTAAAATAAGAGTGATATAGCCTCCCTCAGGAGTCCCCCAAAGATGAAAGAGCATGTTGTAAATACTCAACAAACCCTCGTTCCTCTCCTCCTCTGCACCAGACTCATACCTACCCCTGCCTAGTGGGAGAGGAGCCTGCTTCTCGGGCCAGAATTTGTAGATGTCACGTGGGGGAAGGGTGAGTGGAGAGATAACTAGTACTGAGACAGATGAGATTAGTAAACGTTGTGCCGAACTTACGCTAAGAACACGGTTGTTCTGGAACTGTGGAAAGTCAAGTCCGCCGGAGACAGTGGCCTGGATTAGGTCTTGGGTGGTTCCCCTCAGAGATTCATTCTTATCTTCATATTCTATCTCTCCCCTCTCTCCACTTCATCCTTTTGTAGCCAAAGACCCCTCATAGCCGAAAGACCCACCTAGGCAAAGCGAGAGGCCGAGTCTGCACAGGGGTAAGGGGATGAGGAGCATCATTGGTGCCCCACGGGCAGGAGATGAGAAGGTGCGGGGCACCTAGATTGTGACGAGTCCAGCCAGAGCCCTGCAGAGATGCACGTGAGGGGTGGGGAAGAGGAGGCAGGTGACAGACGGACGGACGGACAGAAGGCTAGCTCCACTCAGCCTTGTGCTGCGAAACTCTGCCCTCCGCAAAGCTCCCATTTCAGAACGTGGGTGAGCCCAGGCGCAGTGCGCGAAGATGAATCGGGCATTGCTAACAATCACACAAGAGGAAGACTGAGGAGAATATAGATACCCATCTCTGCCCTTCTACTGTCTCTGTCTTCGGTGGGTACCATTCCCCACCCTGCTGCCAACACTCACCCTTCCCAGAGGTGAGGTGAGGTTAGGTTCGAAGAGTTTGTTTGTTTGTTTGTTTGTTTTTAAAAAGAGTAACAAGTTCTATGTATAACAAAACACGAATGTCAGAATGTCTAGAGCAGTCAGATGTTCCCCCTGGGAATATAAGCTTAAATAGCCCAGCCAGCCCTATATCATAGCAGACTCCCAACACATCTCACTACCTCACCTCTGCGGCTGTATGCATCTTATATATGAAGCATGATAAAGAACTGTCACTGAATAGTCAGAAGACACTGAATTCCTTCATATGAGCTTGAGGACATCACTCATTTGTGAAATCGTTGTTGGCCCCTCCCCCACCCCTCCTCACAGGGTTATGGGGAGGGGGATTAACCAAGAACGTGCTGCCCAGATGGAAGGACAATGCCCTGCCCACTGAGATGGAGACTCACTGAGTCTGCATGAAAGGCCTTTCAGGCTCCAAAGGCAGCAGAAGAGAGGCCTGGCAGCTGTGGCACATGTGGTGTGTGACAATAGCTCCGTGGGAGCAGCTCCTGAATAGCTCCAAATCAATGGTTGTAAGCTCTTACTGGGGGAAGAAAGTGTAGTTTGGGGACACAGCATGCCCAAACAAGCTTTACTAAATGAGTCGCATGTGAAGCGGCACTGATGTGTGGAGAAGCATGCATGCCCTCAGCAGCACTCATGTGTGGAGTAGCATGCATGCCCTCAGCAGCACTCATGTGTGGAGAAGCATGCATGCCCTCAGCAGCACTCATGTGTGGAGTAGCATGCATGCCCTCAACAGCACTCATGTGGAGAAGCATGCATGCCTCCAGCAGCACTGATTGTGGAGAAGCATGCATGCCTCCAGCAGCACTCATGTGTGGAGAAGCATGCATGCCTCCAGCAGCACTGATTGTGGAGAAGCATGCATGCCCTCAGCAGCACTCATGTGTGGAGAAGCATGCATGCCCTCAGCAGCACTCATGTGTGGAGAAGCATGCATGCCCTCAGCAGCACTGATTGTGGAGAAGCATGCATGCCCTCAGCTCTGATGAGATGCATACACAGACAGTGAGCCACCTTAGGTCTACCCAGAAGACCACGAAGCAAGTGAGCAGGAGACACGCAACTCTGGACTAGAAAGGCCAAATTACAGTCGACAGTGCTTGTAGGTTGAAGCCCTCACATTACTGAACTTGTTTTGCAAGGATGTCTTGTAATGTGTAAAATGTGGATAATAAAATGTATCACTAGTCACATGTTGTGAGGCAGAAGAGATCGCACCTGGAAGGCATATCCCCTGAGTCAGCGTAGTCAGTAAACAGGGATCCTACACAACGCTTTCTGGAGGACGAAGGTAAACACTTCAATAAAGCCCCAGTCAGATGGCTGCTCTTATCAAATGAGAGATTTATTGTACATAAAATAAATTAATTACAGTTCGAGCCAAAGCATGAGTGGCTTCTTAAAGTGCATCTGTGTAGGGGATTTGGCAGCTAGGCCTGCATCGGGTCACTCTCTAAGACAGCATTTCAGTATCTCAGCCACCCATAGCCACGACTCAGCCAGGCCCAGGAAGCAACCCAACGTCATTGCCGTGAGTCATTTACACAAACCACACCACCATCAATTAACACTTTTTCTGTACCTGATGCCACAGTTTAAAAAAAAAAAAAGAAAGAAGAAGCAAACAACTGTACATGTCACAGTCGGGCAGTCCTGGGTTGAGTTTTTCACAGCGACTCAACATGTATACCCATCCTGTATCAGGAGATCCAGCACCTTCCTGTAGATCACAGCTCACAGGTGTCTTTACACAGAATATTTTCTCCTAAAATTTGACCTTTATGGAGTGGGGAGGGTCCCTCCTTGTTCTTAAAAAAATCTGGGTATTCTTCAAGTCAGAAAGGCATCCCGTAATGATAGCATGTTGGAGATACTGAGAAAAGCAAACCTTTCTCTTGGGAGGGCAAAAAAAATGGCGAAGGGAGAGAAAGCCTATGAATGTTTGCTCGGGTCTTTCGTGCCCACCCTAATTCACATCAATGTATCTGGCGAAACTGACCACCATTCATAAGGCAGTGAGGAACAAAAACATGGCCCACCCCCACGTTAAAGGAGCAACAGAAAAGTCACATATCTGTCCATCTGTCCTCGGGCCCCAAACACTTCTTTTGCAGAATTCCACAGGCCCCTCAGGCCCCTCGGCTGCAGCCCTTTCTGGAACCATGAACTGCCGTCAGCCTGCGATGGTCCTGCCTAAGAACCTCAGGCCCTCTGCCCAGAAGACCAAACCCCCTCAAGGAGTCCCGCTTCAGACAGACGTGACAGTCCTCACTTTAGCAGACAGAGCTTGCTTAAACCTCCTTTTCAGGTCCTGCATGTTGGGTGACTTTGGTCTGGGAATGAGAGAGGTTCTCCGCTTCTCGGGCGTGCTGCTGGGCTGCTGTCTGTGGCTCACTTCTTTGCAAAGGACGTGGAAAGCGCTGTAGACATCGCTGTAATTTTCACTGACTGACACTTCATAGAAGGAACAGCCCAGCATGCCGGCTAGTTGCGGTCCAAGCTGAGGGTCCACCTGCTTGAGGTGTAACAGGTCAGCTTTGTTGGCCACAACCGCCACAGGCAGCCGAGCGCCGGGGTGGAGCTGCTGGACGTGCTGGTGGAGCTGGCCAATGAGCTCATAGCTCGTGTGGTCCGTGATGGAGAAAACGATGACAACGGCGTCGGCCCAGCGGATGCAGCGATTCAGCTGCTCGGTCCAGCTCAGGCCATTCTCGTGTACCTGCAGAGAGCAAGGTGGACAGTGAGTGCGGCTCAGAGCTCCGGCTCACTCACATCCTGAATTCAAAGGAACCCTTCAGAGCGCTGATGGCAGGTTCCGGGCCATAAACAAGTCCTGTCCCCACACACTTCAGCTTTCTTGACAATATGTTGATCCAGCTGCTCGGAGTTGGGAATAAATAACAGGGCAGCTCACCACACTCAAGTGGAAAATGGACCTGCGGAGAACTCCACGCAGAGAGACTTTGTAGTTGCACAAAATGGGAAATTAACTGGCTAGACAGTAAGTCTGGGGAAGTAAAGATAGGAGCTGGAAGCATTTAAACCTGGATAACTGCCCAGTGTCGGATGGGGAAGGAGAAAAAAAAAAAAATACTAGCAGAGTTCTTTTGTCTGCAGAGAAACTTTCCACAACGTAAAAGTGATTCCGGGTGCTGGAGACTGGACCCACATATTTGGTTTTTAATGCTAAAGGCACATACATAAAAACCGAAGCAAGGAAACACTGCCAATTCCAAGTGTTAGTGTGTGCCGCCACCCCCCCACCCCACCCCCCACCCCCGTGCCCCTGCTTGAGGTGACTCCTCCTACAGAAGGGGCTCTGCCCTTCACCCAATCTCCCAAACTAAGCCAGGCCGGGGCTGACCGGAGGCCAGATACAATTAAACTGTCAAACATGCAAAAGTCTAGCCCTCACTCCCCACAGCTCCTCTTCCTTCAACTGATGAACCACTGAAAAATTCCACGGCCACTAGTCTCCCCTTCGACCCACTCAGCATCACAGTTTCTCACCTGAATGCCTGGAGTGTCCTGGACTTGAATAGCCAGAGTTTCTCCCTCTATCTGGACTTGTCGGGTGTAGAGATTACCTATGAAGGCAAAGAAAAGAGATCATGTTCCTCCTTCATGCGCAGCCTTATGAAATGTGGGTTGTTTTTTTTTTTTTCTTAAATGCAGTATAGCCTGCACCAATACACATAGAAAAAAATAAAAAAAGATGTAGTCCACTTCTATTTAATGGGTTTCCTTCTGATCTTGTTTAAAGACCAGCTGCAATTTTCACCCCGTACTAGTAGATTTAACAAAAGCGGGTCAAAGTTCGTGGGTTTTCAGAAACTTGCTGGTCTAATTTTAAACTCAGTTTCCATATTTAGAATATTTCCTTGAAGCAAATTTTCTGGCTCAGTATGTGCAGGGTTTCTGTTTTTATTTTAGTACATTATCATTCTCTAAACAGTTATATTTTGTCCACGGGTTACACCGGATTCACAGGCAAATATGGTTAGTAAATGCACAGTTAATATCCCTGGCATAAAAATGTGACATGATGATCAACTCTCTATCAAAGCAGAAGGCTGCCATGTCTTATCTTGGGACGGCTTACATGGCTCATTTCACCTTAATCCCCAACAGCTACTCACTTAAGCAATGTGCTAACAGGTCATAGTCAGAAAGTCCTGAGGTCTCCTGAGACAGTGGCTATTCTCAATCATTGAGAATGAAATATTTGTCTCCTCATTATTCAGGAGCACTCCCCTCGAAACTCTTCAGCTAGTTATTTTCCTCTGTTAAGGAAAGAATTTTAGGTTTACAACCACCCTCCTTTGGCCTTTGCTTTAAAAGGTCACCCCTGAAAGTCCGCCAGCAGAGGGTGAGGGTGGGGGAGGAGCTGGCCAGCAGTTTTGGGTTTTTGTTTTGTTTCTGTTTTTTTTGTTTTGTTTTGTTTTAGTTTGGTTGGGGATTTTTGTTTGGTTGTTTTTTTTTGTTTGTTTGTTTGGGTTTTTTTTTTTTTTTATGACTTTTGCAGGCATGGCATGTTTTAAAGGAAAAGGCCCTGGAGTACAAAGGGTGCTTCCAACTGGGGTCCCTATAGTTAAAACATACCACTGGGAATACTTTCGGCCACTTGATAAAATGATGAATGGGCCTGGAATGGAATGAGGCCAGATGGCAGCTGGGGGGGGGGGGGGGAGGGGTGGCGTGCAGAATTGGAAGTGGCAGAATCCTGATGCTCACACTGTCACTCTGATGGAAGTGTCCTTGAAGGCACTGAGAATTGAGAGCAGCAACCCCAACAGGCTTTTTCTCAGTATATTTCCTCACCTGCATTTCGTTCATAGTCTCCGATGAATCGTTTAGTGAGGAACCGGACCACCAAAGCTGCAATTGAGAGCCGAGAACAAGTTAGATGGGGTCTCCACCCCTCCCCACATCTAGAACACAACCTCTGCCAAAGAGAGTCACAGCCGGCCACTGAAATTCCTACCCCCGTAGCTCCATGACCCCTCTGCCAGACATTAGGGGGTAGAAGCCAGCCGGGTGAGTTACGGCTTCTGCCAGAGGGGAGGGTCCTGTGGCTCAGCCCCTCCTTTGAGCCCAGCTGGGGCCACACCTAAGCCTTCCAGCAGGCGAGTGTCTTCCTAACCTTACAGAACTCTCTGTTCTGCCACAGACCCTACCAGAGGCTCAAAGCCCCTAAAGTTCTACTCCGGCCCGAAAGTCGGCAGGCCACTGTGGACCCGAGTGGCCCTCTTCTGTTGAAGCAGGGCCATGAAGGGGCGGACGATTCCGCTGCAACGCCCCACCTCTGCCCTCCTGCAGTACGGGCGGCGGCGGGGGGTCTCCCACGTCCCGCCCCACAACCAAGCAGGTTCCCCCCTCGCTTGGACTCACCCGGTCTTGCCCACGCCGCTGGCCCCCACCACGGCGATCTTGACCAGCCGGCGGCCCGCTGCCCCCAGACAGTAGTCGGCAGCGGCCGCTCGCCCGGGGCGGGGTACTCGGCGATGGTGCACATGTTCTGGATGAGGCGCATCGCCCGGCTGCGGCCGGGGCTGCACCGCTCGGGGAGGAAAGTGAGGACTGGGAGAGGCTGGCGATGCGCGGAGAGGGGCGATGTTGGGGGTCCGACGCCGTGCGTCCAGGGAGAGCAGAAGGTACCACGGGAGGACGACGAGACACCGGTCTCGGTCTCAGCGGTTCCGGCTCGCAGCTGGGGGTGGCTGGCGGCCGGGCGCGGGTTTTTCTCCGGCCCAGGCCCCGCCCCCGCCCCGGGCGGCCAATCCCCGGGCGCCCTGCTCGAGGCCCCCGCCTCCGGCCTGCAGGGAGAAGCTGCGCCCCTAAAAGGAGCCGGGAGCGAGTGCGGGGCCCCGTGAGACCGAAGGAAATCAGGGCGGCAGGCGCGAGGGAGGCAACGTGCGGGATTCCAGCCGGCTCCCGCTGCGCTAGCACGCGGCCCCCAGCGGTGGCTGCGGGGCCACCGGGTCTCCGATCCGCGTGGGAGGATCTGTCCGTCTCTGCCGAGTCTTAGATCTGCCGAGAGACCTGTCCGTGTCTTTCTGGGTCTCAGATCCTCGTGGGGGACCTGTCATATCTGCGGGGGGGTGTCAGATCCGCGGTGGGTTTAGGGGCACCCATCCTTGTCTGCCCACCTCGCCGCCGGGCCTCCCTAGGCATTCTCTGTGTTGAGTCCCGGGTCACCTAGCCTCGCTGACCGCTGCCTGCCTCTAACTGGCTTCTCCACCTCTGACCCTAAGGAACCTGCCAGGGAACCCGATGAGCCCATGGCCACTACCCCGAGGCCCCGGCTCTGTGCTCTGCTCATGCACTGAAGACGTTGATCGTTCTTACTTGGTTACATCCAAAAGTACTGTCCTGGATTATACATTTTCCCACCATTGTATCCATAAACAAAGACAACCCCTCCCCGCCATTAAGTGTGGCATTTGTCTTTGGGGCAAAATATCCATATTGTGAGAACACACACACCGCGGAAAGCAAGGTGCTTTGCCCCAGAGGCAAAACCAAGCCAGAAGTCTCTGGAACAAGCTTGCACCTCTCACCCAGTAGGTCACATCCCCTCCCAGAGCTGTGAAATGGTGAGAAAACAGTCACAGTCGCTGAAGCTTGGATGGGACTCACTGGGAGGCAGAAGGGCCCCGTGTTTAGTCTGGTCATAAGGCAAGGGTTAGTTAAAAGTGGCTTGACGCCAAGGAAGATGTAGGGCCCCAGCACTCATAAAATGCCTAGCAGCACCCCAGTGTTCTCATCAGTGAAAAGCATGGTCAAAGGCTCGCCAAATCCCAACTTCAGCAACCTTCTAGACCTTATCGCAGCTGCCACCCCCCTTACAACCCTCGGGCCCTCTTTTATCTTTGGTGCCTAAGACAGCAAAGCCTGTGACTTTTTGTATACCCCTTATTAAAGGTAGAAATGTAAAAGGAGCTGCTGCCAGTATCCACACAGTTTCATTCTGGACTTTATTCACCAGGTATTTGAATAGAATTTACCCCACCCTACTCTGGTCAGACTGTGATGGACTCTAGTAACAGTTTGAAGGGCTGAAGGGATTGGAAAGGAAATAGAAAGGTGCTGTTGAATCGTTACTTCCTTGGTAAGACTTCTAGGACAGACACATAATCAGTGGCGCACACAAGCTGAGCAATAACTGTAAAAGGCTGCCCTTCTAGGGAGAACACTGGAATGAAGTAAAGGTCAGTGTCTGAGTCATGGAGAAAAGGGCATGTCCAATTTGCATCATGTCTTTCTGTGTGGATTAAGTCAAACTTGAGTTTTGCCAGCCTATAAAATGAAACTTAGCAAAGCTATAATTACAGGTAGCATGCACCTTTCAACCCTCGCCCCCCTAGCCTGCAATTCTGTAGTGTTTACATGGGAAATAATTATGCAGTCTACGGTATTTGTTCGGCTGCTTTTTGCACACACACAGAGACATGATAAAAATTCTCAAAGGGAATTTTGCTTTGAATCATTTTAGCTTCTGATGTTTCATTTTCATTACCACGAAACTAACCAAACCTGTGATTTTTCTGTCTGCATCGTGGAGGCTGAATTTAGTATTTTTATTATAAGTCAAAATGAACTGGCTGTACTTAAAACAGAGAGAGAGAGAGAGAGAGAGAGAGAGAGAGAGAGACAGAGAGACAGAGAGACAGAGAGACAGAGAGACAGAGAGACAGAGAGACAGAGAGAAGAAAGTTGAGGAAAATGACAAAAAGAAAGGGGTGGGGTGTTAGTTAACAGGCATCTCCCCAGTAGCCCCCACCTGCATCTAAACTCAGAACTCAGACAATAGCACTCAGTTATCACTTCTTGGAAATCCAAAATCAGTGGGGTGGGGGTGAGGGGGGTGAAGGGACAGGGCGGGAAACATGATATCCATTGAGGGTTTACCATATTCCAGACTATAGGAAAGGAATTTCACTTTTTACCTCTAATTTTAGCAAGGGAAGCGAAACACTACCTGTAATCCCATCACCCCCCAAGCCTGAATGAAACAGGAGGATCCTACGGCATTAATCTGAGGCAGATATCATCATTACTTCCAGGAACCATCCCCACTGCTGCCCCATAAGCCACCCCAAACCGGTTCAACGGTCCTTCTCCAGACACTGCACAATTCTTTCCCGGAGTCTCTCACGGAGACACTGTCAGCTGACAGCTGAGTCGGGTATCATCGGAAGGTTCTGACTGGGCATCCAGGATGACGTCTTTATTCCCACGTCCTACATTTCAGCTAGAAAGGTGGGAAGCACTGCGCGTTAGCTCAGGCTGCCTCAGAACACATGACTTCTCATGAGTGAGCACTCAAGACACGAAATAGAAGCCAATCTCTTAAAGCTTGTATATGGAAATCTGGCAAAGCCTTGCTCTAGTGCTAATGGCCAAGCACCACAGAACCCAGCCAAACCAAAGCGGGAAGAGGAGGAACACTGGTCCCACCTTTAGATGGGGATAGTGCCAAAGAATCTGTGACCATCTTTCTTTAAAAGTGAGAGAAACAAAGCTTCACATACATCTTCACAAAGATCGCACAGCCCATAATAGACAGTACCACGAATCTGCCGGTGATCAGTGATATTTAAAACCAACTAAATGAGCTCTGGGGAAATAGCTCAGTTGGCAAAGTGTTTTGTGAGGCAGCATGAAGGCCTGAGTTCAAGCCCTGGCAGCACCCATGTAAAAAAAAAAAAAAAAAGAAAGAAAGAAAGAAAAAAAGAAAAGAAAAGAAAAACCCAGGCATCGTGGCACACACCTACAACCCAGGCCTTGGAGAAATGAAGACAGGAGGAGCTCCATCTTGGAGCTTGCTGTCCAGACAGTCTAAAAAGAATCAGCTCCGTGTTCAGTGAGAAATTATGTCTCAAAAAATGAGATGGTGGACGATTGAAGTAGACACCCACATAGACTTCTGACCTCTGCGGGGTTGCTCACACACATGTGCGTGCACCCACCCACATGTACCCACACATAAAGACATGCAGACATGAATAGCCAGAAGACGGTATGTTGCCAAGTGACGTGCTCACGCTCTCTCCCTTCCTCTCTGTCTCTCTCTTCCTCTGCCCCCTCTCTCTTTCTTAAATAAAGATTAAAATAGGAGGGGTTTGGGGGGAGTAAAGACAGAACTATTTTGCTAAGTTTTGATTTTTGCCTCAGCATCTGGAGTTTCTCTTTGATCTCTAAAGTCTATCTTTGATCTGAGAGCTTCCAGAGATAATTTGGTGTCTGGAAGTCCTTAGGATCCCAGAATGCAAATTTAATAAATATTTATTTAACATCTGGACTGTGAGTCTAACAGGCACTGTGCTGGGGCTGGGGCTTACTCTGGTGACTCCAGTTACATTTAGCATGGGAAGCCGAGATGCAGCCAAGCAATTCTAATACGATGTGAGAAAATGCCTTGGTAAAAGAAACGCAGGTGTTACAGGAACACAAAGTAGGACTAAGGACCTGGAATAGGAATAGATAGGCTGTGGTTAAGGAACAGCAGGGCTGGACAGTTGCACGGCTGTGCGTTGTATGTGTGTACGTATTTGTGTGTGTAAGGATGGGGGAGCTAGTTTGGAAGCAGCATTTGACCATGACAGAGGAGGCCGGTAAATATCTGTGCACTGCGGAATCAGAACAAGAGCATAAGACAAAGGCCTCACTCCCAGTGAGGAGAACTGATTATGGAACAGAGACCCGGGAGGCAGAGAGCAGAGCACAGGAGAATTCTAAGGACTCACACACATTGTCAGAATCAGAGAAGCTGATGTGGTCCCCTTCTTCCCTGGGAACATGTCCATGGGACCTAGATGAGTGTTGCTCTGCCCGTATCCCCAAGGGTTGCTTCCAATTTGGTGTATGTCAAAGTACGTGGGCTTTTGCCAAGAGTTGTAATTTTATTTTATTTTTTATTTTGAGGCTTATTTATATGTGGATCTAGCAAATAGATACATCTTTGGCTATTGTAAGCAAAACATGATTAGTTTTATCGTTATCAAAGGTTTTCTTATTATGAAAACATAATAATTAGAGAGAGCTAGGACCACAGTCAAGTATTCAGGGGCTGCACCTACAGTGTCTTTCCTCTCTCTTCCTAGCTTGCCCCCCCCCCATCTCTTATTGTACATCTACCTTTAAAAAAAAGAAAATCTAGGGAAGATACAGAGGTGGACACAGTCAAAGTACAGGTTATCTGTGGATGAAGATGCCTTTATGAACCCCATCACTTTGTACAATGGAGTATAGGCAATAAAAAAAATGAAAAGTAAAGCCATCACAAAGGAACCCAGAAAGTCCATTTCCTCTTATCGGGGGAGGAAAAAGATACAGGGCATCAGTCTAACTCCTGGCTGACGTTTGGAATCCTTTACCCATTGTATACTATTCCCTCTGAGAAACTTTGCAGCTGAATCACTAGAGTTCTAAGTCTTCCTGACACCCACAACGGCATGTCCACACTGACTTGGTACCTTCTCTCCTGTAGCCTCCTCCTAAAAAGACAGACTTTGGCACGCTCACCAACTT